TATTTCTATTAAGATATATTAACACCATCATCAACTAATGATACAAAAGAACCTAATGCAATAATCAATGCTCGTAATTTATATCATTCATGTATCAATGAACAACATATTGAAGATGAAGGTATCAATCCAATACTTTCATTGATTAATAATGAATTTGGTGGTTGGCCTATTATACAAAGTTTGTGGGATAATTCAACTTTCAATATATTAGATCTTCTACTTAAATTACGAAAATATAATAATGATATTATATTTAGTATTAGCACATCAATTGATGAGAAGAATTCGACAGAATATGATCTTAGAGTAATTCATAAAATTTATAAAATATATCTATTTATAAAAATTCTTTTAGATTGGTCAAGCTGATCTTGGATTGAGTCAACAAGAATATTATATGAATGAATCAAAAATTACTGTGGCTTATCGACGATATATGTTTGAGTTAGCATCATCATTATCAAATGATACATCAACAATCGAACAAGATGTGAATGATATGTATGAATTTGAAAAAGAAATTGCTAAAGTAATTCATTTTATATTTTGTTTATGTATAAAATCTTGAGTTCTAAGTGCTTTTAAAGATTATTCAATCTATTGTTGCGTATATCATGAAGAAAATGATTGTCAGTCATTTTTCCATACGATCTTTATAGTACTTTGAATATTCTTTGTCTTATTAAGATTTGATACAAAGAGTCTAAAATTTTGATACCCATTATGAGTGAAAATAATCATTAGAAGTTGCATAGATTCAGTAATAAGATGTATTCTGTTTTTTTAATAGCATTATTGGACAACTGTTGAACAGCGACAACGACCAAACTCAACAATTCGTACAACCGTTGGAAAGCTACGAGAACTATAAAATACAGCTGTAAATCTTTTTCTAAATTAATCTATCTATTATTTCGTTATTTCATTAGTTTGACTTCACTACTTATTTAACTTTAGCTTATGCATCGGCTAATGTAACTCTCATGGATAGTGATCTTGTTATCGTAAGAGAAATCGATTATTTATATAATGTTTCATCAATTATCCATCAAATGTCACCACGTATATTACAAAATTATGTTATATGGCGTTTTATGATAAATCTAATTAACAGTTTACCAAAACGATTTCGAAGCATTAAAGAAAATCTTAATCGTGTATTACGTGGTACTACTGTTGAACGAGCACGTATAGTTATTTGTAGAAATTATGTAAATAGTAACATGGGATTTGCCGTGTCAAAACTTTACATAAAAAAATATTTTGATAATAATGCTCGAAATCAAGTAAAACAAAGTTCTTATATTTATTTTATTTTCAATAATTTTATTTAAAGACATTTGAAATGGTTGCTAATATTCGAAAAGCATTTATTGATATGCTTCAAGGTTCAACATGGATGGATAGTATGTCAAAAAATAAAGCCATAGAAAAAGTAGAATTAATAATATTAATAAATTTTAATGGAAATTTATTTAATAGGCTTTAGCTATTGATGAAAAAATTGGATATCCAGACTATTTAGCTAGTGATAATGTTACACAGTTAGAAATACAATATGCTGACGTATGTATTATGTATTGAAAATGATAATTTCATATTGTATTATTGAATAATTTAGTATGTCTTCGATTCATCTTTTATCAATAATATCTTCAAATTACTTCAAATAAAAGCCAAAGAAGAATTTCAAATTCTTCGAAAATCTGTTGATCACAAAGCATGGGGTTCTAATCCACCGACTGTTGTTAATGGTTTTCATGCATCATCAAAAAATCAAATTAGTAAATTTATTTTTTTATTCATTCAGTGAATATATAATTACATTGTTTTTACCATATTCAGCGTTTCCAGCTGGTATTCTACAAATGCCTTTTTTTCATAAAGATGCACCAAAGTAAATTCATTACTTTTTCTTTTTTTCCATATACTTGATAAATTTTAAATCTTGTAGATATTTGAATTATGGTGGTAAATATTTTTCAATTTCTTTTCGATTGTTTGTTCATTTTTTAAGATTAATGATTGTTTATAGGTATTGGAGTTGTCATTGGTCATGAAATAACTCATGGATTTGATGATAGTGGTCGTCAGTTTGATAAAGATGGAAATCAAATTCTAGGGTGGACAAATGAAACAATAGAAAGATTTATTGAACATAAAACATGTATTGTTGACCAATATAGTAATTTTACTGTACCAAATCTTAATATCCATGTAAGAATTAATTTTTTTTTAATTCTTGATTGAACATGTTACTTTTTTTTGTAGGCAAATGGAAATCAAACACAAAATGAAGATATTGCTGATAATGGTGGATTACGTGAAGCTTTTTATGTTAGTTCACTAAATTTTACATAATTGAAAAGATATATTTCTATTCTAAAGGGTTATCAAAAGTTCACACAAGCTAATCCAAATGCTGATAAAAGACTTCCAGGTCTTTCAAAATATTCACCTACACAAATGTTGTTCATCAATTATGCATATACATCGTGTGAAAAAATGACTGATTCATATGTACTTGATCATGTTCTACACGATCTTCATTCATCAGGACAATTTAGGTACAAATATTTGCATTAATAATAATTTTAATTCATATATCTATATATCTATTTATTCTATAGAGTCAATGGTCCTACATCAAATTTTGTTGAATTTGATCGAGCATTCAATTGTAAACCAGGTCAAGGAAATAGTCGAGTGAAAAAATGTACTGTATGGTAATGGCATTTTTATAAATATTTTTAAAATGAACACTATTCGATTTTTGATTAATAAATAAAACAACATCAGTAGTCATTTATATTTGAGAATCATTTATTGTCTGTATCAATGTTCCACTGCTGACTTACACGTTACTCTAGATCTTCCTTCATTAATAATACACGTTGAATTTTCTAGTAATTACTCCTTATGAGCTCATTAAAACAACGATTTTTTTATGGAATATTATTATTATGAAAACTGAAATAGCCAAACTAACAATTCGCCTTAATTTTTTATTTAAACTTTAGATTAAACTTTAAACTATATGACCAACGTATCGTATTTTAGATTTTAATATTGTTTTTTATATATAATCTGCAAAAATATATCATCTTGAGGGTGTATTTTATTATACTGTATGCACTTCTTTTGCATATGCTAAACAATGATGCTTTAATTCACAATAAAAGTCTATTTGTAATTTCATACAGTTTATGTAAATATGGCTCATATGTTAACGTCAATTAGATTTACGACAATTTTGTTGTAATCTAAGGTTATATATATTTTTAGAATTCATATAACTATTCATATGAAATATTGATTTATTAGTTTGGTTGATCATAGATGAAAGCATTATTTTCATGTCACTTATCATCACATTTAAAAAATATATTTTATTTTTACAAGTGAAAAAAAATACGAAATTACAAAGAAAGGAAGTAAAGAACATGACACATGCAAGAAAAAGAACATAACATCAGTATATATATATGAGAGTTTAAAAAGTTAACCAACTGAATTCTATAAAATTTTTGAATATGATGCATTATTATTTGCGAAAGAGAAATATAATCCATTTTTTCCAACTTAAAAATATACTTGAGTTAGGAAGTTAAATACACGTTTTTCATAAAAAATATATGTGAAGGAAGATAAAGAATGTTGGCTTTTTCCCTTTATCATATTTATATTTAAATGTACTGAAAAATACTTCTTTTTTATTATAATTTTAGATTTTATTTCGAATTCCACAGTCAAGTGTATTCATTATACTATAGATTCATAGTAGACAATAATGACTACTTCATTTTCTTTTGATAATTCGAAAAATGGTAAAACAATATCAAACAATGGTAAGAAAAGATTTTAGTCAATATGGTTTCAGATAATTTATCACAGGATAAAAAATGACTTCAGTAAAATATTTCATAATCTACTATAGTATAGAGATCATATACCGGAGCGAGAAAATATCCACATCAATCTGTACATATAACGTTGACTATCATTTCAACAATCAATACGGAAAGTCTCTCTATCAATATTCTTCAATTTTCTTCACACAGTTTCTATTATTAAATCTTTATATTCCAGAAAACACTCCATCTAAACGTTTAATTGATTCGAATGTCACTTCATCGAATCGTCATAACGTATCAATTATGTGGCTTGATACAAAAGTAGATCCCAATGATCTACACACACTTCAATTGTGTAATCAACTCAATGATAGAGTTCAAATTTTTAATGATATACGTGATTGTATAAATACTCTTCAAGGATGTCAAGAAACCATTCTTTTAATTTCGTCAGGAAAATGTGCCGAGCAACATCTTCAAAAACTTCATTCATTAACATCAATTGATTCGATAATTATTTTTTGTGCTAAACCTAAAAATTATCCTAATTTAACAACTAATAATTATATTAAAATCTTAGCTTGTATTTCTACTGAAATTGAACTTATTCAATGTGTTCATAGATGGATTGATTTAAAATGTCAAACACATTTTTATATATGGAATAATCAAATTAATAATCCTAATGAACTAAATCGTCAAACAGCATTATTTCTTGCTAATTATCTTTTACCTAAATATATTCAAAATCATACTCATCGTTTATGTAAACAAGAAATGTTAAATCTTTTTCATGCATATTATTCTCAACATGAATCAGAATTGAAACATGTTAAAGAATTTGAACTTACATATACAAATACAGATGCAATTACATGGTATACACGTGATTCATTTGTTCATAAAATGGTTAATCGAGTATTACGATCATTTGATATTTTAAAACTTCGTGCAATTGCATTTTATATTCAAGATTTACGACAACAATTAAATGATTGGCGTTTTAAAACGAGTTCGAAAGATCTACTTACTGTATATCATGGTTTAGTGATGATATCAAGTGATATTAATCGAATAGAAACAATGCCGATCGGTGCATTATTATCAACAAATGGATTTTTATCAACTAGTCGAAACCGTGAAGTTGCAATGGCTTTTGCAGCGAGGAAAAAGAATGCTATCGGTCAACCATTACGAAATGTATTGCTTGAAATAAATTTAGCTATTGATAATTCGCCTATTATTTTTGCGGATATTCGACATGTTAGTGTTTTTCCTGAAGAAGGTGAAATTCTTTTTGATATTGGTACTGTTTTATGTTTACAAAATGTAACATATGATAGTGAAACTGAATTATATACAATTAAATTAGATATTGCTACACAAAATGATTATGATTCAATCGAAAGACTATTAGTATCAGCTAAGCAACAATTACATGGACAAATTAATAAAGATAGTAGACAGGAATCACTTATTGGTAAATTATTAAATATTAATGATCAATCTAATGACCAAAGAACAAAGTCTAATGATCATTTACAAACATATTCATTATTTCAGTCATCATCTAATAGTTTATGGTATTTACATTATGATAAAGTTAAACATTTATTTGAAGTATATCCACAAAAATTTATAGAATTGATAACAAATTATTTTTATCGTAAGTTAAATAGAAAATCTTTTATAAATTTATTTATCTTTATATAATAGAAAAACCGGTTCATTCGAAAAAGGACGATCTTGTTCTCTACAATGAACCATATTTAGCAAGATTTGATTCTGTACTTTTCTTTTATTTAAATGATGATTTAATGAAAACTGAACGAACTAATCTTTCATTGATATTTTCATCGCAATATCGCCGTTTTATTACAAAAGATCTTACACGCGAACAAGTTGATGATAATCTTAATGAATTTTATTATATCAGATATATTGCACCTGAATTACCATCACATATGAAAGATAATGGTAGAATAAAATTTTATCAACTTAATGTACCTGCAGAAAAACAAAATACAATTGATCAGATTAAATTAGTGGAAAGAGTAGTAAGTAAATTACTTCATGATCTTGGTATGTTTTATCATGAACAAGCAAATAGCCAAGTTGGCGATTCACTCAAACTGAATATCGAGAAAAAATTACGAATTAAAGCAGCAGAATGTTATCAAAAATTATCAAATGAAACTGAAAAAACAATGCAGCGATACCGTTCTAAAGATCAGACCAAGTAATAGTTATTCATCTACAATTTTTTCGGAACATCAAAATCAATTTATTTAACATGGATTGTACATATAGGGTAGATATGAAATTCTCACAATTCGTTATATCTGTTGAAGGAAATGTCCATAACTATTCTTATAACTTTACTAGCTGCTATAAAAGCTAGATCTCTTATCAGGATATCTTAAGAAAGAGATAAAACGATGCTGCTTCTCTTAGAATATTTGGCATACAAAACCTGATAAAATGTCGTTTTCTAAAACAGATACAGCGAAATGTGAGAATCAATTGCCTATTCTGTGTAATATATATTATCATTGAATAGTTCGTTGTAGATTTCTTATTGTTCGAATAAAAATAATTCTTTTGTCAATAGTTTTTTCTTATTAATTATTTTATTATATTTAAAAATAAAACATTCACTTTTCACTTCTTCTAGATAATTAAGCTCTATACAGTAAACGATTGCATTTTAGACGAACATTTATCAATTTATGGCAGAATTAGTATGTTTTTTTTAAATATTTATTTATTGTTTTATTAAAAAATTTATTTTATGTGAAATAGATACAATTTTCTGAGACAAATTTTCCACATGATTTCTTAGATCAAGAACCTTATACTCTTATATATGATCCTGGTAAGAAAATCCGTGATCATCGTACGGAACTTGCTCCGTTTGATTCAATTGTCAATGTACATTATGAAGTTAATAGTTTAATCAATGAAATATGGAGATCAAGGAATAAACAATTATTTCTTACGTTAATACTTCCTAATACAACTGATAGCGGCGTAAGACAATTTTTATCGGACCATAATATATGCAATCAAGAACATTTACATTCATTATTTTTAATATTTCTTAATGGTCTTCGATGCCATCATGATTGGATGAATTCATTAGAATTACGTAGACTTCGATGGTGTCGATCATGTACAACTGAATTAAAACGAGATCTTTATGAGGTTTGTCGGAAAGCTTGTGATGAACATATCACTTTCTATAGGCAACAAAGGCTATTAGCTGAAGACGGTGGTCTACAGCGTAATGGCTATAATGTTGCGGATTTTGTCGAATTTTATGGTCAACGAGAAAGATATTGTTGCGATCTTCTCTCTAGATTTCCATAAATAATTGTTATTCAGGCGTTTAATTTCTTGCGAGAGGATCTTTGTAAGTAACAAATCACTTTTGTAATAAGATCTTGTTCAATATTTAGATCCTACTAAAACTAGAAGCAGCTTAGAATAATTCATATTTATAAATCTCTCTCCTTCTACATAATAGTTATTTCATCAGGTTTTGAATCTATTGTATAGCATCCAATGCTAAGTTTAGAGAACCAGTTTTGAGCATAAAACGATTAAATATAATTAAAATACATCAAAATCTTTTGCAGAAAATAGGTATTTCTAATTTCCTCACAAAGTATGTTGTTAATAAAGGAATAAAAAATGGTGCGATTTTTTGTCAGCGTAGCCCCTCTGGAGATAAAATGTGGAGTTCACATATTCACCTCGACTACGAAACAAACGCAATCATTGAGGAAAACTTGTAGACAGGAGAAGATGGCGAAAATTTTTGATATATAAACTCAGATGTTTTTAATTGAGAGTACCTGTGCGATCTAACAGAGAAAAACCCGAGTTTTGGAGTTTTTGGATAAAAATATCTATAAAAAATCAAGTTTTTTACTGTGGGCGGGGTGGGTAGGAGGAAGAGCCACAAAACTTGAACTTATAACCTATACTCATATTTTTATATGTGTTACACAAAACATAATAAAGGACTATATATCCAAAAGAAAGACTCATAGACATGAATTATTTTAAGTTTAATGTAATCTCTAGAGGATCTATATGTTGTTGAAGTTTTATTTCAAATTTTATTTGCTACTTTGCAAATTTCTCTTATAAGTCATTTCAACATTATCATTAGTCATGAGGTTTTTATTTGTATTTCTTTTTTTTTATGTATTTTTTTATTTCACATTATCTTATCGCAAGATGTGAAAATCTATAGGTAAAACTTGTTAAAAAACAATTTTTTATAATTATATTTTTTTTTATAGAACAAATTTTTATGTTGAGTACACTAAAATGATGATTGTATGGCTGATATTACATATAAATTTATACCGAAAACTGATAAAATCATCAATTTCTTTCTATATAGATGGATTGTATAGGGTATAGGTGTGAGTTTAAGTAAAGAAAAAGCACATTTACACCATCCGAAAAATTTAATGTTCAGAAACTGAAGTTCTTTTTTACTATTATCTTAAAATAATTAGTTGAATTCTCATTTCATATAAGGGAACTAGATAATATTTACTTTTTTTGCAAATATGTAATCATTTTCATATCTAGAAAAATACAATTGATGCACTCAATAATTATTCGACACGTACTTATTTCTCATTCCGTTGCTGTACAGTCAGTAAAGGTAAAAACAAACTTTTATGTACGTCATAATTGTATTGTCTGTATCTATTTTTAACATGCGAATGCATTTCTTTCTCTTTCGATGATATCATATATAATTCATACAATAACAATATATATAAAAAAAATTATTGCCATTAATAAGTACTGTAAGACATATTGTTACGCATGAATAACGAAAATTAACACAAAGACTGTAAAGTATAAATAGGAAAAAATGATCATATAATGTATCATTCAATTTCAAAACAAAATGCTATTTCAATTGGTAATTATCATCTGTATATTCACGAATGCTTATGCTTCAAATAAACTTGTATCATTACCTTTATCTATAACATCTCTGTTTCAAGCAACATATTTCTATCGTAATACGACTGTACCATTCAGCTTTACTAATTGTACTGGTGTTAATGATGCAGATAATTCGGATCCTGCAGAAAATAAATTATTAAAATCACGAAATGCTTCATTTATATCTTATTCAACAGAATTTAAATCATTAATTGATTCGAATAAAACACCGAAATTAATCGAACAACAACCAGTATCAATACCATTTGCTCATGAAGGTGGTGCGTATGTTCCTGAAACCAATGAAGTTTGGTTTTCAGCAAATCAATTACCACAACAAAATACAAATGTAAGTAGTATTAATTTAACAACAAATGAAGTTACTTTACTCAATATTAATAATCCAATAAATACACCGAATGGTATTAAGTATTTTAATAGTCTTGTTTATGTATGTTCACAAGGAACGAAAACAATTCCTGCTGCTATTTATGCTGTTAATCCAACCACACTTGTTAGTAAAGTCATTGTTAATTCATGGTTTGGTTATCGACTTAATTCACCTAATGATGTAACATTTTCAACAAAAATTTCTGGAAAAACATTTATGTGGTTTACAGATCCACAAGTTGCTTATCAACAAGGTTTTGCTGGTGTACCAGAATATCAAAATACTGTATTTCGTTATGACATGTTAACATCAGAATTACGACCAGTTATTACTGATCTTATTACACCAAATGGAATAGCATTCAATCAAGAAGAAACAGTATTATATGTTAGTGATACGACACCTACTTCAGATATAGCTATAGTTTATGCTTATGATCTAACAAAAGATGGATTACCAATGAATCGTCGAATTTTTTCAGTAAGTTCATATGGAATACCAGATGGAATTAAAGTAGATAAATATGATCGTGTATGGACTGCTGAAGGTGATGGAATCAATGTACGAAATAGTTATGGTACATTATTGGGAGTAATATTAGGATATAATCTATCTTCAAATGGGTTAATTAGTAATTTTGAATTAAAAGACAATACTGTTATTATTCTAGCACAGGAAAAGTTATGGCGATTAGATTTAGCACAAAATGTTTTGTAAATATTAGTTATTAGATATAAATTGTAACATTTTTATTAGTTCTTTTTAATGAATAAATAAAAATTTCAGTTAGTTATACATAAGTTTTAACCACAAGGTAAACAACCGATCAATATTGAAATAGAAGTTATGAGTGTAAACCTCTTTTATCCAGCTCTCGATTACAATGTCTTTATAATTTAAATACGGTTAACCATGTCTCAATATTTATCTGTACTTGTACTCTGCTACATCCATTAGGTCTACCATGATGATTACGAGTATTTTCTTCACAAACTAATTCCTAACCGCCTGTACAACGCTGAGTATAACAATTCATATAAACATGTATATAATATTCGGAACAATCTTTATGATTATGATCTGATCTATCGAAATCGTTCCAATAACCTACTCTTATTTGATAGGAACAACATAATCACTATGTGTGCATTTGAATTGAATGCGATTTCTTTTCTATATCCTCATTAAATATATAACCAAAAAATCTTTGAATTCTTCACAGATATTGATATTTCTTTTTCTTTTATAAGTCATGACGATTCCTAATTATCATTAGGTTGTGGGTGTGAATATCAGAAGACTGCAGCACCCACACCCTCTAGATTTAATATATAAGTCTTATTTTGATTAATATTTATTACAACGCTGTTCATTATTTTTATTGCGACAATTTGCTTACTTTTCTTTTTTTACAATAAGAAAAAAGAAAACGAATCCTATTCTCGTCATCATTTAGTTATGCACCACAAAACA